TGGCGGGTGGGCACCCCTGCCCACACCGCCTCAGCCACCCACCTGCCCATGTTTCTTGCAGATCGTGGCTGCCCTGGATGCCAACCCCATGACGAAGCGCACCCAGCTCCAGCACAAGTTTGAGCAAGTGATTGCGCTCATGGAAGATAACATCTACGAGTGCTGCAGCGAAGCCTAGGCTGACTGCAGCCCTGGAAGTGACCTTCTCTGCAGCACAGTGCCGTAGGGAACCTGCCTTCAGCCGCGGATACACCGTGGATCCACCATGGATCACCTCCGCCAGGGTCATTCTCAAACCAGCTTTGGGGGGGGAGTAGGCCTGGCCCGTGGCTGAAGGGCTCCCTCACCTAACAAGAAGCCACGAGGCACCTTTCCGAGCAGCTCAAAAACCCTCTGGTCTGCACTGTGGCACCCATAATTTATTTGCTGCCAACCAGAAATGGAGACGTGACACTTGTGGCAAGCTCAGTTCAACACTTCCCTCTAATCAGCACCCAAGCGGTCAGTGGCTCCCTGCATCCCCGTTTGTGGTTCTTCAGGACAAGAGACGGGGCTGCAGAAACCCTAACAGACACAAAGCAGAAGGGTAGCCTCAGGGAGTAACGAGCAGAGACGGGAAAGGCCATCGGAGCAATGCCTGAGCTCCCTTCCACACCATCCTTCTGACATACTTGTTTTTCCAACACCAGGGACTCTATCAACTGTTCACTATCTGCTGCATTCTGTGTATTTTTGTGCCTTTTCATTTTTGTACTGTATGTGTAAACATAACCACTCCTCCATCTGAGACTTGGGCAACATGGGGAATTCAGGGCTGAGACAAAGCAGTTGCTTCCCAAGTAGCTAAGGCATGGTGAAAGCACTTTATCCCCTAACAGAGACAGCTGTTACAGAGCCGGAGGGAGCGTGTTACGTGTTAGACAGAGTGGGAAGGGCTGCTCCCCCTTCCCCAGGTTCCCAGATCTGCTTGCACAGTGAGCTGGAGTTGCAGTGGGTAGGCAAAATCCCCTAACGACCCACCTTTCAGCCAGCTGGTGACAGGCGTGGCTTCTGCCTAGAAGCAGAAGACCAGATGTAGTGGGTGAGAAGAAGGACTTCTGCCTCACACTCCGGTCTCCCTGCCATGCTGGCTGCGCACACATCTATGGCACTGCCCCAGCTCAGCCCCGGTAACGCCGCTCGTGCCAACAGCGGTTAGCTCCTGCTGACAGCCCTCTGACAGAGCGGGCTTGAGCCATGTGCAGGGCAAAACACCAGGTAGCATCTTCCCTCCCTCTGCCCCACGTGCTCCAGCATCTCCCTGCAATCATCACCACAAACGAGGTCAATGCTACAGAGGTGTCTTCCGAAAGCAGCTTGTTCTGCTTGCTTCGGACCCAGCCCACCATGGTCACCTGAGAGCAACCAAGAGAGCGCAGTTTTGCTGCGTGTCTTTTTTTTGGCCCATACAGGCAAAGGGACTGGACCCCATCCCCCTGGCAGCACGATGCTCTCGCAGGCCAGCAGAGCAGCTCCAGCACCCCAAGCTGCAAATAAAGGCAGAAAGTGTCCTGCGCCTCCTTACACCGGGGTCAGCGAGCAGGGTCCCACTGCGCAGACCTAGAAACTTCACTACTGTCCTGCAGCGTCCGTGCTGGGGCAAACCCCCTGTCCCAGCTTGGTGGCCCTTTCTCCTTTCTGCTGGCAACTTTGTCCTTTCTGCAGCTGGGGAGCTGTGACCACTCTGGTCTTCTCCAGCGTCACGCAGGCCCCTCTGTAGAGGCTGGACCGCAGCTAATGCCACATGCTTGAAGCCAGCATTCACATGCAGGCAAAGGCAGCCTGCCCGTGAAAGCTAAACCCAGATGTAGCCACCGCATTTTCAAACTGCCAAATAGAAAAGAAAAAAAAAAAAGTTACTACCTCACTCCAGGCAGGGTCTAAGGTGAGCCTCCGTTACTCATCCAGCTGGCAAGGATGCAACCTGGTATTAGATGACTTTGGTCCACCAAAACTCCTCCTGGGTGACTCACTGCCATGGACAGGTGGCCTCCATCCCATCATTTCCAGTAATGCCACATTTGTCAGAAATTGGAATATCAAAATTGTGTATGTGTATATAGATATCTATTTTAAAACAAATGATAGACTTTATCCAGTATGTTAAAAGGGGGGAGGGAAAGGGGAAGAACAGAGTTTGTTGGTTTTTTTTTTTTTAAAATAAGAGAACTACAAAAAAAGTACATACACTGTGGAGGTTTCAATGTCTTTGCTGAGGATGTGGATTCAGAATAGAAACTCTAAGAATGTAGCTGGGCTACATTTTATTTTAAAAGTGATTTCACAAAAAATCTTGACTTTTTTTTTTTTCCTTTAGAAACTGTGAATAGCTGTCAGAAATATAGGCAGGCCCAGCACATGGAAGGCAAGGGTGAGAAGGACGACCAAGGTAGCAGAGAACGTTGAGGTTGGCTGGAGGTGGGGAAAGGTCCATGGAGCAATAGCGCCATGTTGTTACAAGGAAAGAATACAGGTGAGCCGACAGTATAGTTTGCCTCCAGGTGATGTTACTGGGCCATGTATTGGGGCCTGTTGCTTTATTATTTAATTTTTTCCAAAGCAAAAAAAAAAAAAAAAAGTAGTTGCTACAACCATTTTAAAGGAACAACTTCAACGGAGCAGAAGCTTGAGGGTTTGTAGTGTTGCCTTGAACCCCCGAGCCCTTTGTAACATGTTTTTAAACTTTGGCACGTGTTGTGGGTGTAGTGCCCTTACCTGCTGTGTAGTGGAAGTGGCAGACTCTTGGAAAAGCCTATCTTTGTAATAAAACAAGGTGCTGAAACCTGTGCAGTAAAGTTCCTGCCTGTGTGCACACAGAGGACACACGACATCGTGGAAGACACCCATTGCCGCCCGCAAGGTCAGGCTGCTGCCCCTTGCCTAAGGATGGGGTGCCTCTCCTCCCACGCCCTCCACCACCCCAGCCTGCAGACCTCCGTGCTCACCCCGTGCAGAACACGGAAGCATGGGGAGGAGGACGGCTCCTGGGTGTGCGGAGCAAGCTTTGCCTGTACGAGAGGTACCATGCTCAGGGTTGGCAGCTCAGCTGATAACCACCTCATTTCCATACAAGATGGGGTTTTACCTCTGTAGGCTGCAGAGCCCTGGTTTCCTGCAGAGCATGCCACGGCCACACACCGCTGCCCCAACCTGGTACCATGGCTCCCACCAGAACAGGAGCTGGCACAGGAAGGGGAAGATTTGCACGAGGACACAACCACACACCTGAACTGACCACACGCTGTGCTGCACACGTGAAGACCGGTAACACCACAGCAGTGCGCAGGGCCGGGCACCCTTACCTCTGCCAGGTGCCATCAGCCCACAGGACAGTCAGCGTCTTCTCCCAGCCCTGGGGAGCCCAGCGGCTGCTCTGCACCACAACTGCCGCCAGCCCTCGAGGCTTCTGGCTTCAGTGCTGCGACACCAGCCGCAGCCTGTAGGTCTTAATAACCATGGCATTGCTAAATCCTCTCTCTTCCACCTCCCCCCATAAAAGCTGCTCTTTCCAGGCACCAGCAGGATTTTTCTTTTCCCACTAGAAAGCTGATTCTTAGTAAAGCTAAATCCAGCCATTAAATGATTTGGACTCTCTCAAAGTGAAGAGCCTCATGTTTCAGACTGGATGCCTGGTGAGAGAGGATGCAGCTCCTGCCCAGTTCTGTTACAGGACATTTCCATGCTAGTGACCAGTGCTTTGTGAGGTTAACCATCACCAAAGGGCCAGGTGAGCTCTACTCAGTTATGTCCGGGGGGGGGGGGGGGGGGAACGAGACAGTGTGCACTCTCC